GGTTTGGGGTGTAGGGTTTAGGGTTTAGGGGTCAGTAATTTTTTCCCCCCGGTTTTTGAGGGTGTAAGCCCGATTTTGAGGACTTTTCCTGTTTATGCCAACGGTTGTGGGGGCTGTAAGCCCGATTTTGGGACATGTGTTTCTTCCCGGCTCTTGGGGTAAACCCTAAACCCTAAACCCTAAACCCTAAACCCTAAACCCTAAACCCTAAACCCTAAACCCTAAACCCTAAACCCTGAACCCTGAACCCTGAACCCCAACCTTGGGACCTTTGCCTTCCGAAGGTACTTTCATGGGCCCTGAAGATGGTCCCTAACCTCCCTTAAAGGGTTCTGCTTAGGGTTTAGGGTTTAGGGTTTAGGGTTTAGGGTTTAGGGTTTAGGGTGCCCAAAGGCTCCCATGTAGTACCTTCTTGGGGAAGTATACTAGAATCCCCTATAACGAACCCAAGAAGGAACTACATTGGAGCCTTTGGGTGATGTATGTGCCTTACTTTGCATAGGGTATATAAGGGGTATATCAAGGGGCAGGCCCAATTTTGGGACTCTAGGGACTGGAGGAGGGGGACCCTTCTAAGGGACCTCAGAGGGGGCTTATTTGGGGGCTACTTAAGGTATATACCCTAAACCCGAAACCCTCAACCCTAAAGCCCAAGCTTGGGACCTTTGTTTACCCCGGTTTTTTTGGGCGGGGGGGGGGGGGGGGGGTGTAAGTTAGGGTCATATTCAGGATTGTTTTTTGCTCAGAAGGTTCTAAATCCCTAAACCCTAAACCCTAAACCCTAAACCCTAAAAGGGCTAACCTAGGAAAGGGAGGCGGCAAGTTTCTTGAGATCATCGATGAGGAGGAGGACGATCTTCCTGAGACCAGGAGCATCGATCACGCCGACTTGGCCAGTGAGTGTGTGAGCAGCGACCATGAGACCCACTCCCTTGGTGACCAGACGTACCAGGCTGACCTAGTGAACAATCTGCTGAAACAGACTCTGGGCCATTGTTGTGAGCCATTTTACATTTTTTCGAATACTTACACCCAATAAAGGGAAAGAACATGATTATTTTTAACAGTCCCCCCCCAACAACAATGGTGCAGGATCACCCAGCAGAAGAAGTCGATGCAAGAGATGAAGGCCGAGCATGCTGGCATGAACGCATCGCAGGTTCAGAAGATCCAGCAGCTGATGTTACTGGGCTGCACTTAGCAGGGTAGCTATAAATTTAATTTTTAGCTGCCTTCTTAATAAACCCAATGAACCCAAAAAGGCTAAGGATCTAAAGTTACAGTAAAGCAGCACAGAGGTTAGAGCTTAGCGAGTCCAACGTGCTCCATGAGCAACTCGCAGCTGATCACGAGCTCCTGAAACAGTCAGAAAAGACCAGCCGGATGGATCACCTGAAGAAGGTGGATTCACTCAACCGGCTGATGAGAACAATGCAAGGCCAGCTGCATGACCAAGATGTTGCCATGAAGGAGCAAGATCGGACGGCGGCGGCAAGTGAGCTGAACCAGACAAACCTTGAGGAGCAGCTGCAGCTGCAGACAGAGGCGCTTCGCATAACCAGCCTGCGCTTGCGCGACGTGCTCCAGCAGCACGACAACGAGACTCTCCGCCACCAGCAGGAGCAAAGTTCCCTGAAGCTACAGCTTGCACTTGAGCGGAAGAAGACCTCCAATTTCGGAGCGCCTGGGGGGGACGGATTCGACGGAACCGATGAAACTCAAGTGGCAGAGGCGCTCCTCGAGAGACGCAACCAGGAGTCTTTGCAGCCCAGTGACACCCTTTTCCCCGTGTTTTTTGTTCATTTTTCCGGTTCCCTTGTAAAGCGACCAACCCCACAAAAAAGGGTACCCTAATCAAAAAGTATGGCTACTGGGCTACTAAGGAGTTGCAGGAAGAGCGGAATGTCTTGCAGGGAAGGTTGGACGTGCAGGAGGTGCAGTTTCAGCTGCAGCTTGAAGAGCTACAAAGAGAGCATGCGTTGAAGATACAGGAGCAGAAACCCTAAACCCTAAACCCCAAACCCCAAACCCTAAACCATTGAAGATACAGGAGCAGACGCAGTTCTTCTCTCAACAGATTGAAGATCTTCGAGCCCATCTGGACCAGAGCCGACAAGCCAGCCTCTTCACATCGCTTGCATCTTAGGGATACTTGTGGGAATCTCTTTTTTTTTAGGGTTTAGGGTTGAGGGTTTAGGGTTTAGGGTTTAGGGTTCTATTTTCTAAGAAACAGCCAAGAGAAGAGTCTTTCGCTAGGGTGCCAAGTTCAGTTCAGGCAACCGATGCCTCCAATGGATCTCAGGCCCTGCGAGGTCTCGGCGCCACATCTGTCTCTTGGTAGCCCCAGTGGTGCCCTTTTTCCGTTTTTTGTTTTGGCTCCGGGTTCCCTTACAAGGTAAGCAGCCCAAAAAGGGTGCCCTTATTATATCATATTATAAAATATTACATTATATCTTATTTGATTAGATTTTTTTATATTATATTATATTATATATTATTTTATTATATTGGATCAGATTACATTATATTGTACTATATTTTATTATGTTATGGTTACTGGGCTACGAAGGTATCTCCTCAAGCAAGCAAAGCCAGCAGCGACGTCAGTGGCACCGATGTAGGCAGCGGGGCCTCAATGTACCTTGGGGACGAAATGAACCCTAAAATTGGGACCCTGACTACTATAAGTTCAGGGTTTAGGATTTAAAGTTTAGGGTTTAGGGTTTAGGGTTTTGGGTTTAGGGTTTAGGGTTTAGATACACCCTTTTAGGATTCATTAAAGTCCCCCAGGTATGGAGGGGTGAAGGGGCTCGTCTGGGGCATTCTGGCCATGCTGCCGAACGTTGCGGCTCCTTGGCAGCTCATTGGTGCCCTTTACCCTTTTTCTTCGCGGGTTCTGGGTTCCCTTATAAAGTTGCCAACCCCCAAAAAGGGTGCCCTTTAGGGTTTAGGGTTCTAAACCCTAAACCCTAAACCCTAAACCCAAAAAAGGGTGCCCTGCAATGGTTCCTGGGCCACCGAGGCCCTGATGTGCAGCTACGAGGGAGCCATCATCCACAGCATCACGCCGAGAGTTGGCATCCTGATGGCCCAGTGGTACCCTTTTCCCTGTTTTTTTTTTTGGGTTCAAGGTTCCCTTGCTAGGGTTTAGGGTTTAGGGTTTAGGGTTTAGGGTTTAGGGTTTAGGGAAAAAGGGTGCCCAGATTAAAATATTGCTACTGGGCTACCAAGGAATTCTGATGGGGAGCACCTTGATTGGCAAGTCCTTCTTCAGCCTTGCGAAGCTTGGTAGCAGATGTGGGTACCCTTTACTTTTTTTTGTTCTTATGGTTTCCCCTTGAAAGCAACCAACCCCCCAAAAAAGGGTGCCCTTATGAAAATATGGTTACTGGGCTACCGAGGAAGGAGAACAATCTGGCATCGTTGCAGCGCACCATCATGGCAAACCAGTCCGAGGGAGAGAGCCTTCCTCGCACCTTGGCCCGACATCAACTGGAATCACCACTTCGAAGCTCGGTCACTAGTGCTACCCCCCTTTTCTTTTTTTGGTTTAGGGTTTAGGGCTTAGGGCTTAGGGTTCTTGGCTTATGGGTTGCCTTATTAAGGTAGCCCAAAAGCAAGGCTCCCCTGTTGTAATGTGGTAGCTACCGAGGAGGTCCAGTTGACTTGCTGGTTTCTGCGGTGCATTTGGCCGGAGGAGCAGGCAGAGAAGGGGAGCGGCACATCTTGATTTTGCTTGTGGAGCAGCCATCTGAACCTAGGGTCGGCCTTTGGGGCATCTTACATTTTCCCTTTTTTTGGGGGTTTAAGAGGATCATATGTAGGAATATATTTTCAGAGGGTCTTAGGGGTCCAGCCGAGGAACGCGCGCCACTTCAGCAGTCGGTCGCCAGCAGCGACATTTGTCCGAGTGATAGCGTCAGCGTGGGACCTCGGCGCATGACGAGCGAGTTGCCGCTTGGTGGCCCGGTGGTACCCCTTTTCCCTCTTTTTGGTTCAAGGTTCCCTTATCAAAGCCACCAACCCCCCCAAAAAGGGTGCCCTTATCATGATATGGGGGGGGGGGGTTCCGAAATAAGGGGCACCTTATTGGAGTCCTTACATTATAAGGGGATCCTAGTATTTGGGGGTCCATATGTGGGATTCCCTGATTTTCGTAAGCCCCCATATGCTGTCGGGGCGACCAAGGCAGAGGACCAAGCTTCGTGCCTCTTTTTTTTCAAGCAGGCAATCCCAGAGGATGTCCAACGCTTCCTCATCGAGTCGCTCTCCCAGGAGTGGTTCCGAATTCAGATGATTCCCATTCACAGAAGTTTCGGAGCTATTATTAGTAAATATTATCAAATATTATTAAATATTATTTAATATTATTTAATACTATTTAATAAAATTATTATTTAATATTATTTAGGCCGTTTAAGGCCAAATGAACCACAGAAGGCTTTGGAGACAAAGTCATCATGTATGCCGCAGGGTGCAGTTGCCAAGCGAACATCCTGCCGCTACGTTCCAGCAATACCAAATTCCTCAGAAACCGTATGGCAGCTGACAAAGAAAGGGCAGCTAACCGTTCCACGCCGGAAAATGATGGCGCAAAAAAAGTTGGCGCTGGTGCTTTCTGCGGTCTTGACGTTGCTTCTGTGATTTCTGGTGCGCTTCTCGCAGTTGGAAGATGCAGTATCCACACATCCTATTCATTTGTGAACGTTGAGTTGGGATGTTCCCCCTTATACCAACAGTCCTTAACAGGGATTATAGTACCCTCGATCATAACCACTAAAAAGGACTGTTAGCATAAGGGGGAACACCCCAAACGCTCAGCCCTGAAACCCTAAGCCCTGAACCCTGAAACCTAAACCCTAAACCCTAAACCTAAACCCTAAAACCAAAACCCTAAACCCTAAACCCGAAACCCTAAACCCTAAACCCTAAACCCCAAACCCTAAACCCTAAACCCTAAACCCTAAACCCTAAGCTACCGAGCAGCTTGCAAACGACAGGGCACAGGCCGGACCACGGACTCGGACCTGGCGAATCCCAGCGCAGCAGGGCCAACGAAGGCCAAGTGGTTTAGGGCTTGGGGTTTAGGGTTTGGGGTTCAGGGTTCAGGGTTTAGGGTTTAGGGTTTAGGGATAGGGCTTAGGGCTGAGGGTTTAGGGTTTGGGGTTTGGGGTTTAGGGTTTTACCCTAGACCCTAAACCCTGAAGCAAAAAGGACTTAGGGGCTAGGCGGGCGAAGTCTCTTGGAAACAGGGCTTAGGGAACCTGTTTCTGCTTTCGGAAACGCGGTGTGCTTAGCCACGGCAGGGACAATTCGAGAAGGGACTTGGGGGGGGGGGGGGGGGGGGTTTAGGGTTTAGGGTTCAGGGTTTAGGGTTTAGGGTTTAGGGTTTAGGGTTTGGGGTTTAGGGTTTAGGGTTTATAGGGTTTAGCTTAGGGTTTAGGGTTAGTCTTGAAGGTGCAACACTACACACAGGGACCATGATCTTGCCAGAAATCAGAGATTCGGGCGTCCCTCTCGTTGCAGGGAGCCGACCAAGATGCGGAAGAGCCCAGGACAGCGGAGTCCGCTGAGAAGGTTGGGAGGGGAGCAGCAGGGGCGAACTGGCACCCTAAACCCTAAAGGGGGCTGGACCCTGCTAGCGGCTGCTCTACATGAGGCACGATGTGTGAATGCTCTAACAAGTCTGCTTGGTCAGGGCCTGAGCCTTCTAATCTCTAAACCCCGCATCGTTTCGAGTTGAGGGCGTAGCTTCAGTCGTCACTTTCCTAAACCCTAAACCCTGGCTTGTTTCTCGCATAGATTGCGCGCTGCCCTCAGATCACACAGCGTGAACCCGAAACCCTAAACCCTAAACCCTTCACCCTCCCAATCCTAGCATATCCCTTCATCCTGCTGCGCGCGCACTGAGCCCGGCACGGCCCGTTAGCCCCTACGGATGTGGAACTAAGCCCTAAACCGTAAACCCTAAAGTGCTCCCCTTATACTAGCCTTATACGTGTAGCGCTTTATCTGGGCGGGTCTTCAGATCCCCACCTAAGACTGGCTAGTTCTTAATTAGTGCGGCCTATACCTTGTAGTTATCTGCCTATCGAAACAGTCCTGACTCGGACCCCTAAGGATAAACCACCAAGAGTTTTCCCTCAAATATACTCCGAATATGGCCCTTATCCTACCTAAATCCCCTAAACCCCAAGCCCTAAACCATATTTTCTTTACATATGTATTCTTCCTTATAAGGGCAAACATAGGGATTATCATTTTTTTGAATGGTAGACAACATGTATAGGGTTTTTTGAGGGAGGTAGGTTCAAGGGCGTAGGTACCTAGCGAGCCTTAGGGAAGCTAAGGGTGCCTGAGGGAGTAGTGGGGAGTAGTGGGGAACCGAGGGAACCTTGGGTTACATACCCCCTTTGAACCAATTTAGGGTTCAGGGTTTAGGGTTTAGGCCCCTAAACCCTAAGCCCTAAACCCTAAGCACTAAACCCTAAGCCCTAAACCCTAAACCCTAGACCCTAAACCCTAAACCCCAAGTCGCCAAAGCCGCTAAAGCCGCTACCCCTCGACGCCTTGTCTTCACTTCAGCAGCCGCGCAGCTCAGCCCTCAAGGGGCCTGCAAGAGCGCTTACATGGTTCAGGCCCCGGGGCGCGCGTTTTGGGTTCAGGGTTTGGGGTTTAGGGTTTAGGGTTTAGGACTTAGGGTTTTGGGTTTTGGGCTTCGAGTTTTGGGTTTAGGGTTTATGATCTCGGAGGCTGGCTGTAGCAAATTCGGGAACTAAGGCCCCGATATAATCACTGCGGGACTTCTACCAGGGGACATAGATGACCTAAAGCCCTTAGTGATTCCTGCTCCTTGCGAAGGAGCTCTACATGGGGATTGGGTACACTGTACTACTATAATCCCTATTATGGCATATGAAATCTGCACCTTCTCAGATCTTCTTAGGGTTCATATGGCCCTCTAAGGATAAGGAGTTTAATTTAATTTCGGGATTCGGGTTTACATATGGTCAACTGCTGAATATGTGGCGCATATTTGGCCGCTAGTTTTGGTGTATATTGTGGCTCCAAAGCTCGAGTCTCGAGCTCATTCAGAAATCATTTTTATAGGAATACAGGTTTTGGTGTTTTTCAGCCTTGAGTTTTTTGGGCTTGCACGGTTGCTTCGGGGCTTGTAGAAACTATTTTTCAGAATACATGCTTGAGATTTTCGGCTTGCATGGTTGCTTTGGGGCTTGCAGGAACAATTTTTTTCGAATGCATGTTTTGGGGGTGTTTGAAGCCTTGAGGTTTTGGTCTACTTCCTGGGTGACAGAGAGAGGTTTGGTTGTGGGATTTCACTGCTGATTGTGGGGCTTCCAGAAACTACGTCCGTAGAATCCATGTCTTTGAAGTTTTTGGACTTGCACTGCTGCTTTGGGGCTTGCAGCAAGCAAACGGAAACGTGTGTTGGAGCTTTCAAGACTCGAGGCTTGGGTCTTGCGCAGCTGCTTTGCGGGCTTTTAGAAACTACATCTACGGAATACTTTTTGGGGAGCTTTTAAGGCTTGAGGTTTTGGGCTTGCACTGCTGTATGGTTTTAGGGAACATGTTTTCCGGTTTTGGGCTGGCACAGCGTGAAGACGTTAGGGTAAGAGGACCGGGGAACAGGTTTTCAGGTTTTGGCTTACTCGCTGCAGGTGGAAACAAACAGCATGAATGTTCTTATCCCCCCCACCCCCTCAATAAATAATAATTGAACCCTAGGACCCTACCCAAAGGCTCCTATGTAGTACCTTTTTGGGGAAGTATACTAGAATCCCCTATAATAACTAACTAGGAGCCTTTGGGTAAACCCTAAACTCGACCAGCTTCCGGGCCGTGTTGCAAAGCGCAAGCCAAGCCAAGCCCCTCACGACATGAAGCACCAAGAGAGCCCTGGAACCGGCGACGAAGGTGAGAAGCAGAACCTGGAAATGGGTTAGGGTTTAGGGTTTAGGGTTTAGGGTCTAGGGTCTAGGGTTTGGGGTTTAGGGTTTAGGGTGTAGGGTGTAGGGTTTAGGGTTTAGGGTTTAGGGTTTAGGAAAAGCACACAAAGTCGAAGCGCGAAACACCACGAACAAGTGGCCGATGCCATAAGAATGGAAAGAGAAGGCCAAGGTGAAGCTGCGAGATGCGCAAACAATCAGGGAATCGGGCACATAGAGCAGACCCATGAGGAAGTTTTGGGGTTTGCAGGGTTTAGGGCAGACTTTAAAAAACGAAGTCCGATGTCGCGTGCTAGACCCGCCGGTTAGGGTTTAGGGTTTAGACCAGGGCAGGCCCTTATGCCGTTTTTTTTAGGGTTTAGGTTCCCTAAAAACCCCTTTTAAAGAAACAAGTGCACCCTATTTTTTCTTCCTAGGTCATAGTAAGGGAGACCTGGGTGAGTGAAATGCAGGTGCTACTGCCTGCGCTTGACGCTCACAGTCTTTCTTGGAGAGCATTTGCCACTACACTTACGAAATGAACTTTGTAAAACCCCATAAACTCTACGAACCCTCTAAACCCTATATACCCTACAAACCCTCTAAACCCTCTAAACCCTAAACCCTCTAAACCCTATACCCTACAAACCCTATAGGGTACTACACCCTCTAAACCCTAAACCCCACAAACCCTAAACCCTCTAAACCCTTTAAACCCCAAACCCTCTAAACCCTACACCCTCTAAACCCTTGAACATCAACATGGGAGGCCATGGCCGGCGAGGCCATGCGCGAGACCACGAGACTCGAGGATCCGCCAGCGGGGGGGTCATAGAGCAGTTGCTTGAAGCCTGAAGAGCGGTTTAGGGTTTAGGGCTTGGGGTTTGGGGTTTAGGGTTCAGGGTCTAGGGCATGAAGCACGAATGCGTGGTGGTCAGGGTGCCACTGCAGATCCTCTTTTCTGATGGCTGTGATGCCACGAGAGCATTGCAGCTGTTCAGGCCTGGCAATCACTGAGCGCCTCTGAGAGACGGAGGGGGTTTAGGGTTTGGGGCTTAGGGTTTTGGAAAGTCTGCTATAATTCTGACTTTGGGGCTTGATTTTGGTGGTCACTTGAGGTGACAGCTCTTTCAAGAAGGCTCCCTGTGACGCCCGGTTAGAAGCGAAAGACCCTAAACCCTAGCCCTAAACCCTAAACCCTAGTCCCTAAACCCTAAATCCCTCAATCCGGCACCTGAGCGCACACTTAGCACCACGCGTCTTCGTCGGAATCCCCCGCGGGATGGTCCGCCCAGCCGGCATTTACGAACGGTCGACTTCAGAATCCTTGGTAGCCCAGCGGTACCCTTTTTTTTTTTGGTTATGGGTTCCCTTATTTCTATAAAACCCAAGAGGATATTAAGAATATTATTTTTATTGAGGTCCTAAGGGGGCATTGTTTTGGTTATGGGTTCCCTTATAAAGTAACCAACCCCAAAAAAGGGTTTAGGGTGCCCTAATTACAATATGGTTACTGGGCTACGAAGGAATTGTCGGCTTCAGAAGCTCGGTGAGACGCCAAAGAATGTTTGACACACACAGACAAAAACACATAGGGTTTAGAGTTTTTGGTTTAGGGTATCTACGTGTGTCTACACATATGTATATACATATTTGTATATGCATGTCTATCTATCTAGCCAGCAATCTATCTATCTAGCTATCTATCTATCTACACACTATGCATATACATACACATGTATATCTTTCCTTCTTTCAGGGTTGCTTCTTTCCGGACATGAGGCTTTCGGAGGCTTTGGAGTTCAAGGACACAGGGTTCAGTGTTTGGGGCTTAGGGTTTCGGCCCCTCAACCCCTTCAACCCGGTTTTCGCAAGGAGGAGCTTTAACCCCAAGCCCTAAACCCTAAACCCTAAACCCAAAAGGAGCAGCGGCTCCCGCGCAGCTCTCCATGAACCGGGCAAGTTCCCGCAACACGGTGGCAGATGTCATCGGCAAGAGGCGGGGGAGCCTCTTGAGCTGAAATAGGTTGCATTTTACCCCTAATCCTTAGGCCTTTTATGGGTTTGGGGTTTATGTCTTAGGGTTACCCTGAATATCAGGTTCTGTATTCATGGTCCGAAGATGGGAGGACAGTTGAGACAACTGACCATAGAGGGCGTTCATGCCGGCTTTTCGCTTGGGGTTGGAAGTTTGTGGGTGCATAAAAGGAGGAACCGTCATAAGGGGAGCGCCGCTCTGAGCGATGGCCCTGTGCTGGGCATGCCTCTTGCATGGATCGCACGCGCGGCCGCGGCCCTCAGATCACCTAAGCCCTATAAACCCGTTTAAGCCCTACACTGCCCCATTCCCGGATATCAGTCCCTGGCGTGGGCCCTTACAGCTCATATGGGGAATTAATGAGGGGTTACGGACGGTTAGGGCTTTAGCGCGTGGTGGTTTAGGGTAGAGGGTTTAGGAGGGAGAGAGAGTGAGAGAGAAAGAGAGAGTGAGAGAGAGAGAGACAGAGTGGGGTTTGGGGTTTAGGGTTTAGGGTTTAGGCCTTCCCAAACGTTTGTGAACCCATATCATTAGGGTTTAGTGCTAGGACTCAGACTCGGCCTCATTCCATTTTTTCAAGGGTTTGGGTTCCC